TATTTTAATACTATTTACCATCTTTTTTGCTTTTAAATGTATCCATATTTTAATACTATTTATCATCTTTTGGGCTTTTAAATGTATCCATATTTTAATACTGTTTATCATCTTTTGGCCTTTTAAATGTATCCATATTTTAATACTATTTATCATCTTTTGGGCTTTTAAATGTATCCATATTTTAATACTATTTACCATTTTTTGTGTTTTTAAATGTATCCATATTTTAATACTATTTACCATTTTTTGTGTTTTTAAATGTATCCATATTTTAATACTATTTACCATTTTTTTGTGTTTTTAAATGTATCCATATTTTAATACTATTTATCATCTTTTGAGCTTTTAAATGTATCCATATTTTAATACTATTTATCATCTTTTGGGCTTTTAAATGTATCCATATTTTAATACTATTTATCATCTTTTGGGCTTTTAAATGTATCCATATTTTAATACTATTTATCGTTAGATGAAATACTAGCATAAACTCGCACTTAAAAGTTTAGGTTGCCATAGAAACAACACAAATGTGAGAATAAAACTATGTTAAATTCCCCATAATTATAACGTTTTTCACGCAAAAAAAAAACAAATCGAATTTGATTCAAATATAGGCCTATGCTTTTCTACAAAGATGTACGTTACCACGTTGTTTTTTTAATCGCAATATCTTGTATACATTTTAAATACAAAATTTTATGCAAAATAAGGGGATGACACTACATCAAAACACACATATATTCCAACAAACAGAACAATGTACACATTTTAATGGTTAATTCATGTGAAAAATTTCATGTGACAATTACTTACAGAACCTTAGTTCTTTGAATTGTGGAAAACGTGTAAAAATAAGAAATTGAAAAACGGTGAAGACTAGGAAATGGAACTGTTATGAAAATATTACAGGAAACTATTAAAATAGCTTGTGGTCTGTGGACCTTAATAGCTGCATTACATTTAACAGGTTTTTATTTGCCTGATGTACATTGTTTGTGTTAAAAAGTTAATTCAGTTATAAAGGACCCATAACTACACTGTATTAGAAAAACTTTACAAATGTAGAAAACCATTATAGCCGGGTAGTTTGTGTGATGAGGATTTAAAGAGTTTAAATTAAGTTCGTATGGCTAAGTCTACTGATTAATGATTACTATTGAGATCAATACACACACATTGATCTATGTCAACTGATTAATGATTACTATTGAGATCTATGAATCTCCCCCCTCAAAATTAGAAAAATTATGGGATATATATAAATAATATATATGGATATATATAAATAATATATATATATATATAATATATATATATATATATATATATATATATATATATATATATATATATATATATATTATATTATATATATTATATATATTATATATATATATATATATAAATATATATATATATATATATTTATTTATTTATTTATTCATTTATATATATATATATATATATATATATATATATATATATATATATATATATATATATATATATATATATATATATATATATATATATATATATATATATTCATTATATATATATATATATATATATATATATATATATATATATATATATATATATATATAATTTACTTATTTATATAATATACTTAGTGTCAGCCCACCTCCCCCTTTTAAAAATCTAATTAATCATTTTTTTTCTATACATTTTGCAAAGCTTTAGTCTTGGTGTCAGCCCCCACTTGGTGTCACACGGTGTGATAATAATTAGATAACTGACTTTGTGTTATAATAATTACATAACTGACTTTGTGTTATACTAATTAGATAACTGACTTTGTGTTATAATAATTAGATAACTGGCTTTGTGTTATAATAATTAGATAACTGACTTTGTGTGACGTTAAACAAAAAAAAATTACATTGACACTATTTTAAATTATTTAAAGGTACATTATTCATGTTTCTTAAAGATATATTCTATTTTAATTGTTATTTCCCTTTGACCGCTAACAGCATTGGTTTATCCCACCTACTCGTTGGTTCAAGCTTTTGTCTGTTTACAACAGACACGACATAAAAAAATTGTTTTTGTTTCATATGTTTAATGGTTTTTCATATGTCCATAAGTTGATATAATTTTTTTTATAGACCAAAATAGCAGAAAGACTTTTCTAGAAGTTCAGGTTGCTATTGATGGGAAAATTAATTCATATTCAATTCACTAATACATTTTATAGATCCAAACTTTAGCGTCAATATTGAGAGTAAAATTTAAAGTTCCCTTTCAAACGTGACGGTCTACGGGGAAAGTGAAGTTGAGTTAACTCGTTTGTGTGACCACGGCTTATGAAGAGATAGTGTGGTCAGTACAATAACCAGCCGCCTTTACTTTTCCTAACGTGAGTCAGGTACCCATTAGAGCTGGGTGGACTCAGGGACGTTCTACAGACCATGTTCAAATTCGAGACTTCAGGGTTAGCAGTCCAGCTCACTACCACTAGGCCACTCCGTCACCTTAATTTTCAGAGTCGCTAGATCCAAAGTTTAGCGTCAATATTGAGAGTCGCTAGATCATAACTTTAGCGTGAATATTGAGAGTCGCTAGATCCAGACTTTAGCGTCAATCTTTTCGCTAGATCCCAACTTTAGCGTCAATATTTAGAGTCGCTAGATCCTAACTTTAGCGTCAATATTGAGAGTCGCTAGATCATAACTTTAGCGTGAATATTGAGAGTCGCTAGATCCTAACTTTAGCGTGAATATTGAGAGTCGCTAGATCCTAACTTTAGCGTGAATATTGAGAGTCGCTAGATCCTAACTTTAGCGTCAATATTAAGAGTCGCTAGATCCAAACTTTAGCGTCAATATTGAGAGTCGCTAGATCCAAACTTTAGCGACAATATTGAGAGTCACATGATCCAAACTTTAGCGTCAATATTGAAAGTCGCTAGATCCAAACTTTAGCGTCAATACTGAGTCGCTAGATCGACTTTAGCGTCAATATTTAGAGTCGCTAGATCCTAACTTTAGCGACAATATTAAGAGTTGCTAGATTCTTACTTTAGCGTCAATATTGAGAGTCGCTAGATCCAGACTTTAGCGTGAATATTGAGAGTCGCTAGATCCTAACTTTAGCGTCAATATTAAGAGTCGCTAGATCCAAACTTTAGCGTCAATATTGAGAGTCGCTAGATCCTAACTTGAGCGTGAATATTGGGAGTCGCTAGATCCTAACTTTAGCGTGAATATTGAGAGTCGCTAGATCCTAACTTTAGCGTCAATATTGAGAGTCGCTAGATCCTAACTTTAGCGTGAATATTGAGAGTCGCTAGATCAGAGGCGTTGCGACCCTTTCTGGCGCCCGGGGCGAACTTTCAGTTTGGCGCCCCCCCCCCCCCCATATTTATATATATATATATATATTTATATATATATATATATATATATATATATATATATATATATATATATATATATATATATAAATATATATATATATATATATATATATATATATATATATATATATATATATATATATATATATATATAAAAATATATATATATATATATATATATATATATATATATATATATATATATATATATATATATATATAAATATATATATATATATATATATATATATATATTATATATATATATATATATATATATATATATATATATATATATATATTTATTTATTATTCAGTCTCAGGGCTTCCGCGGAGGTCAAGACACAAACCCGACTCATATAATTCACGATCGGATTTTCTCATTGTTGACGATAGAACTATTAAGGAGGGTTCGGTGATTGCGCATATGAAACTGGTGGAGTTCAGTACTCCAAAAAGTTAAGAACCACTGCTTTAGAGTGTATTTTGTAGAAGGTGCAAGCTTTATTTGGTCTACTTTTGGTCGTGTCTTTAGAACAATTTCGATAATAGTAGGCCAATATTGCAATTTTGAATTATCAGTTAGGTTGAACAAAGTAATAATCAGTACAATATACTAATTTTCTTCTCTCTTAAAATTTTGGCAAAGAGTGTCGCTTCCCATCCACCCGCTCCGACAGTCTGCTATTTTACTGATCGGATAGCGATACAAGAATCCGTTATATTTATTTTTCTTTAATAATGCAGCGATCCAGGCAAGATGTTATGCAATCAAGTAAAAGTATTTGATCTATCTCGATCAAGTTGAGAGAATCGTAAGAATCGTACAAAGAACTAGTCGCGTTATTACTTAGCAAAACTGGGTAGTGAAATCGTACATTAAGTGTTAGCAACCGATCTTGAACAAAAATGGTAGAGCGGATTTTAAACGTCACTAACTCATGTTACATAATCGTAAAATACGCTTTAGTTCAATTGGTTTCTTTTCTGAGTGATATCGGTTATTTATTCCTTAATCCGTTGTGCATTTTTCCGATTTTAGTCTTCGAAAAAGCGCCTCCCCCCTCCCCATCTAGGAAAGCTGGAAAGCGGTTTTTCCGGTCACTGTTTCTTAAAGTTATACGTTTTACAGTTACACAATCAAGGTAGAAAACAGTTAAATCAGTATGCAAAGGCTCTCAGACGTTAAATTTCTTTACTTTGACTGTTTATAATTCAAAACTGCAGCTTAAAATTAGCTTTTAATTTTTTTTCTACCCCTTTTGGCGCCCTCCTAAGGTCGGCGCCCGCCCTCCCCTAGCTACGCCTCTGCGCTAGATCCAGACTTTAGCGTCAATATTGAGAGTCGCTAGATCCATACTTTAGCGACTATATTGAGAGTCGCTAGATCCAAACTTTAGCGACTATATTGAGAGTCGCTAGATCCAATCTTTAGCGACAATATTGAGAGTCGCTAGATCCAAACTTTAGCGACAATATTGAGAGTCGCTAGATCCAAACTTTAGCGTCAATATTGAGAGTCGATCAATACAAAATTCACATTTACACACACAAAACAAGAAATTGAAGCACAAACAAAAATGAAAAAGAAAACGAGCTGATTTAAAACTGTTTATTTACGTTTATAATTACAACAAAAATTGTGACAATTTTTTTCTCCACTCCCAATCAAACAATCAACAACTTTTTCTCTGATAAAAATAATGAGATAATTAATTAAAAGTTTAATAAATCTCTACAATAATGTCAAGAAATATTTTAAGAGCAGACATTCAACAGACGCCATGTTTGTTTACATTCTAGAAAAGACAGACATCCAACAGGCGCCATGTTTGTTTACATTCTATACAAGAGCAGACAACTACAAGTCTAAGTCCAACAACACCCCACTATAATTTAATCCACCAGAGTAACCTCCACTGTGGGGATGTTGAGACCAGCCCCACCCCAGTCTGTAGACCATAGCCCCACTGCTACCTGGACAGGTACACGTTGTGTACGTGTACCTGGTCCATCTATACCCCCCCACCTCCTGCCTGTCCACCCAGTGACCTACAGAGACCTGCTTAGAACAGCCATGAGGATGTGACACTATAATGATCAGCTTGACCACACCTCTACGTCTCTTGTATTTGTCCCTTACTTTACCACATAGACCATCAAACCTCCCCATCATCTCCTCCAGTTTACCAACTACATCTACGTCATGTGTCACACAATCCAACCAACACACGTCTCCCTCAGTGTGTGACACATTCACCTTCCACCCATAAATGTTGACCACTGGACTTTGATCATCATCAAACCACAACCTACAGCTGGACTGTCTCGCCTCACTATCATCAAAAACCACATGTGTGGCTGTCACCACACGAACCTTCCACCACACTTTGCTGGGTGTGTCCGAGTGGTCACATTCAGGACATGGACAAGTTCTGTAGCCCCACAACATCCCCTCTGTGTACTTGTCCACCCCCACAACCCTCCCAGTCCCTGTCCTCAGTGAGTTCTGTCCCCTGGTGTTGTAGCAAGGATATGGATCTTTAGTGCCTGGTACAAACTCTGGTCTGTCTGGACTGGTCAACTTAACGGCTATCCTGACAGTTATGTCAGCCATGGCTTTTGTGAGGTCATACACATCGTTGTCATGGTAACCAGAAGGAAAATGTTTAAGACTTAACTGATTTACAGGTACAAAGTTTTTATGGCCAGGATTTTTCTTACAGTTTGCCATGCGTGTGTGAAGATCTGCCTCACCTTGACCTTCAAGACATTCTTGTACTTCATGTGTACCTGTACAGGTAAACAAAACAATGTTACGGTAAACATTTCATTAGCTGTAAAACTTTGACAAACATAAATAAACCGGGAGTACTATTTTAGATAAATGCATGAAATTTCACACGTAAGTAAAAGATCTAATTCTCTACCTTCTGTCAAATTTTGAGTAATTTCCGTTGACTGGAAGTACTAATTTACGCTATTTCCGATTTCTCAAAAAACGCATGTAAATTTATAAAGTACTAATAATATTGCGCACTATTATGCACATTTTATTAGGAGTTCACTTGGTGTGGGACGGAGTGGTCTAGCGGTAGAGAGCTGGACTGCTAACCCGTTAGTCTTGAGTTTGAATCCGAGTTCAAGTCAGTAGACCGTCCCTGAATCCACCCAACTCTGATGAGTACCTAACTCCTGTTAGGGAAAGTAAAGGTGGCTAGGCATAGTGCTGACCACACTATCTCTTCATGTGCCGAGGCCACAGAAACAAGTGAACTCTACTTCACTTGCCCCATAGACCGTCAGGTTTGAAAGGGAAACTTTTCACTTTTTTTTGCAATTCTTTTTTTTACGAGATTCTATTCGATTATAAAAAAATTGAGTAATTAAAAATGGATAACAAATATTGTCTATGTCCTGAGTTGCCATCCCTCGTAATTTTATATTAGAATATTCGAGAAAGTTTAGGGGAGATCACTTATATACGAGAAAGTAAAAATGAAAACTATCTACAACATCCAACAGTCACAACCATCTCAACCATCACCATCCTAAGATATTCATCCAGTCAACATTTCAACCTACAGAATGTTCCAACATAAGTACTTCATCAGCACAAAACATAGTACATGCAGATAGATATTATTAGGATCAATTTTTCCCAAACAAATGGACATTACCTGTAAAATATGCTGAGATTTCTTTACAGGCCTTACTGTTGTGGTCATCTATACATTTAGTAGTTGAGTTACCCATACCTGTAAAGAATTTTGTTCCAATTTATGAGAATAAAAACTTCATAGTTTACTGCAAATATAATAAGTAAATATATTTACCCTAGACTATCCAAGTTAATTCCTGTTAAATAAACCACAACACAAGGATTTGAAACATTGTCTACATCAGCACTAAACCATGGCTGCACACTTGATTAAGTTAAGATAATTAACAAACTTACCTGTAACTTGATATGACAGATCTCTACTGGCCTTTACTGTAGTCTTATGGTCATCTGTGGCAGCTGTTTGATTGAAATAACCTTGACCTTCACATCACATTCAGCAGCTGTCAGTCACTCTGTATAGTTTATATGGTAGCTTGACTAGTCATCAACCAGTGTTTCTTTACAAACTACATAACAATAGCCACTGGTCAATAATATGGCAGACAAGATTAAGCATGAGAGTCAGCTTTAGAAGATTAAGATTAAATACATTCTTAGACCAACATGTAAGATAGAGTGAAACTGACCTTTGAACTCCCCACTTGACTTTAACACCAGACAGCACACACCACTATGGAAGATCCTTCAGGCTCTGGAGAGAGAAATAAAATTATAGTGGAACTGTCATTAGCATAGAACTACAGAATGACAACATTTATGTTGGAACTGTCATTAGCATTGAACTACAGAATGACAACATTTATGATGGAACTGTCATTAGCATAGAACTATAGAATGACAACATTTATAGTGGAACTGTCATTAGCATAGAACTACAGAATGACATTTATGATAGAACTGTCATTAGCATAGAACTACAGAATGACAACATTTATAATGGAACTGTCATTAGCATAGAACTACAGAATGACAGTATTTATGATGAATCATGAACAATTAAAGAAGAACACAACATGTTTCTTATAATTGTGATGTAACCTGAAGATGTCAAATGTTTGCAACACAGGGGAGAAATGTTTGTATCTAGATCTAAATGCCACTAAATGGAAATGTAGGTATAATTTAAAGGCTTACATGGAAAATAAATTAGAGATATATATTAATTGTAATCATGTTAATTCATATTTTAACAATAACATAAACTTAGCTACTGAATGATAATAAGCCATGATTATTTTAGGAATTTAAAGTTTCATTTTATTATTGTTTAGGCTACAGGTTACTAGATCTAGATCTAGTTATTTACATCAATTGCAAAATGTTTTTAGTTTCCTAACAATTTTGAATGAAGTATTTTATAACAATATTACTGCCTAATTAGGCTGTTACTAATGATAGCACAGGGCTCACTATTTAAAGACCTGAAATAAAAGCATTAATTTCTTCCAATAAATTTTACTGATAGCTTTAACTTTTTGTAGTTTTAACAGTTTTATATAGAGGTAAATAAAAGTGACGTCACCAATATTATCAGTTGCTTGTGCTATGGCGTAAGCTATGGGCCTACTTCAAATATTTTTAAAACCAATTTGAACTTATCTAAAGTTTTTGGTTTTGGTGGTGGTGTTATTTTTTTTTCATTCTGTTTATTCGTGTTCTATGTTAGCACAGATATAAATTAACGCCACATCACGTCCCACCCAGACCTAACTCTTGTAATGTGGATGGATGAGACCATTCTAATATTTCAGGACACTTTAAAGAAAACTAATTGCGTCCAACAGTTGTCATATGACACGACATTCTGCCTAGGGGATTTTTACGTCTCAGTGCTTTTGTTTCGTGAAACGGAATTCACGAACGAACCAGTTAAACCACTTGCCTTTATGATTCATGGAAGGAAAACAACAAAGACTCATGAATTTTTTTGGCAACACATCAAGTCTGTTTGCCCAGAGCTGAATACGTCTAAGCAAGTCATTATAGTCACAGACCAGGAAAAGTCTATAACTAATGCAATCCAGGGCAGTTTTCCAAATCTGCAGCGTTTTATGTGTTGGAACCATGTACTGCACGACTGCAAGCGCTGGCTTAGGTCCCATGGGGTACAGTCATGTGATGAAATGGCATATTATATTGACACTGTAAGATCCCTTCTGCAGGCAACAAGTGAAGAAGAATACAAGGATAACTTCATATCTCTTATTTCCAGATGGAGCTTACTTTTACAGAGTATTTTTCTAGCTTTTTTTACCATATAAATATAAGCACAAGGTTGGATGTACTATGTGTGAAAGATGGTGTCACGAGGTGTGTTTGAGTAGTGCTAGGACTGTTTCAGAAGAATTTGTTTGTAAATTTTGTTTGTAATTAAAATTACTTAATAAAAAAATAAATTGCACTTTTTAGAATTGTTTATACTTTTACACTTTTTGCAAGTACAAAAATCCATAAATACAGGTTGCAGAATATCTCTCCTGCTGAGAAGATTATACCAATTCACAATGACACAGCTCACGTTTGTATAAACATGAGCGGGCTAGATTTTTGAAATTAATGCTGACAGACGGGATTTTCCTCTCGCTAACGAGAGCGGGCAATGACAGTAGCACAGCAATGATGTTAGGATTTTTAAATACATAGATCTAGATATCTGTCTTCTTAGTATCATCTAGGCCTATAAATATAATAAAATCTAGATAAAAAATAACAACACTCGTGCTAAAAAAGGGTATGGCTAAATGCTTGTTTATTTTAAAACAAAAAATAAATAATTTAAATAAATAAATATGAAAAAAAGCATGAACATTTTTTTTTTCGCAAAAAGTGTCTCGCTATTTACTAGTATTTACTATTTACCCTTAATTCCGATGGGTATGTATCGCATTATCTTCTCGCAATTTCCCGCCTCGCCATTTCGCAATCTCCCAACACCCTGTAGTCTGTAGACTAGTGTAGTAAAAGTTTAAGGAAGCTACCACTACTGTACTAAGGCGTAAAGTTAAAAAGCAAAGCTAGAAATCTAGATCTTAGGACTCTAGAAATAAGAATCTAGAATCTAGTCTAGATTTATACAAGGTATATAGCAGTAAAACTAATACTAGATTCTACGCCTAAATCTAGATCTGTGTTGAGATCGGAGACCTATAATTTTGAAAAACCAAACGCTGAGACAGAGTGTAACGCAGTCTTGAGCCACGACTTTCATCGCTAGCAGAAATAAAAATCTGCTTACTATGGCCAGATCAGTTTAAACTTTTATTGCCATAAACAAAGTTAAAGAAGCAACAACAACAAAAATTAGTAGCAATTTTACAATATCAATATCAAGTATCAGAGGCTGTAACATAAAATAAACAGATCTAAATGGGAAAAATAAGAAGTGACGTTTGGGTGTGGGAAATGGGACGTCGTCGCTTCAGTCCCAAGGCATTCCTTACGAGTTAGTCAACTTTAATAATGTGTTCTGTGGTAAAAAAATAAATAAATAAAAGAAACCTATACTATTGATAACAGTGTTTCCTCCTGAGTTTTTTCTCCGAGGAAGGCACTTTAAATTTTAGGAGGGGGGTGTGTGGACACTGATAAAAGTGTATATTCTTCATATAAATTAAACTTCATTCGGGGGAGGGAGGAGGGGCGGTAGACGTTTTTCGTGAGGGTGGGGCTTATTATCTAGTAGCTAATTTAATGCTATTGTTAAAATATAACATCTCTTCAAATGATGCCAAATACAATAGGATGATGGACATTCAACTTTTCCTACTAAGCGTGAAAGATTTTTTTTTTATTTGCTTCCACCTAAGGCAGTTGTGGTCCTAATTGTTGTCTCCCTTGATTGTTTACTGTCCCCAGTTTTCAAGAAGGGTATTGCCTACAGTCCAAAACAAATTATTGTTCAAGATGACTTAAATTATTAAAATCGAAATGTATTTACCTTTAATTTTTTACCAGTTTTAATTATCAAAATTAATCGATTGCCTAGAAAATGATTTGTAAAAAAGTTCGTTGGATTTTAAATGGCTACAATGATATGACGGATACGGTGGGTTAATTTTAAAGGAGTGTTGTTGTGACGCGATTTACTGTACAGTAGAAATGTGTCGTCTGCTAGATTTTTTCCCATCCAAATACACACGGCAAAAAGGGTGGGCTTAGTTCAGGGATCGGCAACCTTTTGAAGCGGAAGAGCCAAAAGTTACAATTTTCAAACACTAACATTTTCTTTATTTCAAATATTTTATTTTTTAAAGATTATTAGTATTTGTTCAAGGAGCTGGAGAGCCGCATCTTGATATCAAAAGAGCCGCATGCGGCTCGCGAGCCGCAGGTTGCCGACCCCTGGCTTAGTTAGCTTTTATCTTGATAAAGTTTTTTTATTAAGGTTTTTTAACTGCATTTTTTTAAATTTATGAGACATGTTTAGAAGGACTTTATATAATTTTCTATAGTTCAGAGTATTTATAACATTTTTACAATAATATTAAATATTTTAATTCACGTTTTGCCTACTTTAGATGTTCTGCTTGATATTTTCAGCAATTAGACCAAAAATATACAAATGGTGTTACTTGAATAATACGCAGAAATAACACTTATAAGAATATATTTTTGAAATGACAATGAAGCATTGTTAAAAACGGAATCAATGAATCGTCGTTTTCGACAGCCATAATTTCCATGATGACGGTAAACAGAAGTAGGTCAAGCGACAGACTACATAGAGCCACATGTACACGGGTGTTTTAATTCGGGACCAACAAATCTGTGACTGGCCTGTGACAAATTATCTCCCCCCCCCCCCCCCCAGCACGGCACTAACAACCCTGGTCACTAGTCAGCCTACAGGCTAAATTTGTTGTCCGTTCCCTGCGATAACTAGCAAATGCTTTTGGGGTTCCTCCAATTTTACTTTACACCCTATACAGTTTACATTCAAATGTTGGAGCTTATCGGTACAATAGTTCTGCTGAATTATAATCATGGCTTTTATATAGTTTAAATCACAAATTTAGTTCTAGATAATTTCTGTGAAAATCGAGCAACTAATTCTGAAATTTTTTAAGCTAAATAGGGTACCGGAAATATAAACTAAAAGTGCATTTGTTAGTATAAAACATACGTGATTAACATTTTTAAAAAAAATTGTATAATTAAGATAATTTTTCCAATTCTTAAAATTTAATGTTCTGATATTCAAGATTTTATGATATTAAAAACAACATTTATAATTTAAAATAAACAATAAACAAAATATATACATTGTTTATAAATGTGTATTTTTCTTTGCTGTTATTCGATTATTAAGTATTTTAATATGTATTTTATACTAACTATATATATATATATATATATATATATATATATATATATATATATATATATATATATATATATATATATATATATATGTTACCAAGAGTATCTACCCGCAAGCCAAATGTTACCGAGTGTATTTACTCGTGCTATCTTTGACCAGCACACAACATCGACCACAATACAGATACTCGGAAGTGCAGGTTTACATTTATCTCTTTATTACATGAATCAATAGAAATGCTCCACATAGCAATGCATCAATGTTCCACAAGAATACAATGAACCAACTGACCCCCACTGTCCTCACATATCAGAATGCACGTGTCCATCGTTCCTATTCTCACAAATCACAACAGGTCTACACAGTTTAGTCTCCAACTCGGTTCTGCTAATTAAACACGTATCTACACGTATCTACAGTTCAGGCTTCTACTCTGTTCTGCCCCTTCTCCAATACGCAGTCTTATTATATCCCACGTATTCGTAATACTTTCCATTCGTTGCATCAGAACTATGAACTACGCAGCGGCTTTGTGTTCGTTATCAGTCCACATCGTTGCGTCAGACTGTATTGCGTTCTTATCAATAGTCTCTAGTAACTACACTAGTTACATATATATATATATATATAATATTGAATGTACTTCTAATTAACTTGCAAATTACAAAAATAATTTTTGTCAATTTGGCAAGCTTGACCTTTTGGTGGCATCGGCCTTTACTTTTATAAACTAGAATCGATTCCGATGATACGCATCGCTAAGTGAGTATTAAAAATAAACTTAGAACTTAGAATATATAAGTTATTTTCACAAATTATTATTACCAACATATATTCTTGAATGTATTTTTTATTTAATGAGAACGTTACTTAAAATAAATCTATTTTCTATTTATGTAAATTTTCCACATAATACAAATGGCGGGATAATAATATTAGGCCTATATATAATTTAATTTCTATATCGATATTTTAAGAGTATCGACCTTAAATCGTCGGGAATTGTTTTGCCTAAATACCGATACATTTAATATCACGTTGTTGTTTTTTTTTTTGTTTTTTTTCTGTTAAAAAAATTTAAATTATCCTTTTGTGTAGATATAAAAACTAATTAGATTAAACAAAGTACCAATTACCAAAACATAATGATAAAAGTTAATTAATTGTAATGCCGACCATTATAAAATCAACAAAGGCTTAATTAATTACCTAATTAACTCCTGCCAGTCCACATTTAACCCCAAACAGTGCACACACCAGTTGTGTAAGGAAGTGATATGTGACGTGAACAAGAAGTCACCTGAGTTATATACCAGACACGGGGTTTTATTTCTTTACACGTCACGCTTGAGTGGTTTTAAAAGATCAAATTTGAAAGAATCACTGGTATCTACTGGAGACGGGTGTAAATATTTTGTTTGAATTTAAAATGACATTGACACATTTGACATAGACACCCATAGGTGTGAACATGTTAACGGTAAATAGCAGATTGTACCCTGTTAGTAAATGAATGCAAACGGGTAGGAGGGTCTGTGCCACTTCTCTAACGGGGATAGTGTATAGTATATTTAGATGTAGCATCATTAAGGTCTGATGACTAAGTGGAAATTCAAAGAGTATATTTAGATGTAGCATCATTAAGGTCTGATGACTAAGTGGCAATACAAAGAGTATATTTAGATGTAAAATCATTAAGGTCTGATGACTAAGTGGAAATTCAAAGAGTATATTTAGATGTAGCATCATTAAGGTCTGATGACTAAGTGGCAATTCAAAGAGTATATTTAGATGTAAAATCATTAAGGTCTGATGGCTAAGTGGAAATTCAAAGAGTATATTTAGATGTAGCATCATTAAGGTCTGATGACTAAGTGGTAATTCAAAGAGTATATTTAGATGTAGCATCATTAAGGTCTGATGACTAAGTGGCAATTCAAAGAGTATATTTAGATGTAGCATCATTAAGGTCTGATGACTAAGTGGCAATACAAAGCACAGAGTTTACAGCCTTATAAGATTGATAATGTTTTTTTACCAGGTCCGATGACCACTTGACTCTGGCAAGGGTTTACGGCCTGTAGTCAAATAAAATGGTGCAGTATATTATAATATTGTATCTCCGTGGCTGATACACGTGCAGGATGAAAGTATTGTGGTAGGTAACTCAAATGTACCCTCAAATGCCACGTCGAACTAGGCCACAGACATCAACAGCAGGGGCGTAGCGAGGGGGGGGGGGCGGGGGGTGCGGACAGCACCGGGTGACACCATATAGGGGGGGGGGGGGTGACACCAAGGCAAAAAATAGCAAAATATATAGAAAAAAATTTGGGGGGGGGGGGTGCAAATCGAAAATTTGAAAGTTTGTCCCCGCGAAGGGTCGCTACGCCTCGGGGGGGGGGGGGGGGTGACACCATTAAGTGCCGCACCGGGTGACACCCGACCTCGCTACGCCACTGATCAACAGTGTTAAGACAGTGACACCCGTTCAAAATCTTCATTGTTTTATTAAACGTTTTCTATTATCTATGTAAGGTTAAAAATAAACGACATATAAAATTATCGTCTGTCTGTCCATATTTATTGACGTCTGCAGACGTTACTTGTCAATGTCCGCCCAAATTTGGACGTCTGCTGACGTTTAACACAGTTGTTTAGTGTATATCACGTGAACATATTAGATATATGTACTGAAGGATTTGAGCAGCTTTTTATTTCGTTTATTGTGAGGCTGTTAACTATCTATGTTGCAAGAGTTGAAATTTACCTTTAACATGTCTTTCAACTGGTAAGGTAGACATATATACGACGTCATTACGTCATGTATACATCTTATTTACGTCATCTTTACATGTGATGTACGTGTTTTTTATGATCTTTTCACGATCTGAAATTTGACATCAAATCAAATTTTAAATCAAAATTTTAATTATACATGTAAATAACCTCATTTGGTGTGTTTAGTTACACATGTAAATAATTTTATTTGGTCAGTCTTGTTACATATGTAGTCTAGTTAATTTGTAAATAACCTTATTTGGTGAGTCTAGTTACACATGATAATAATCTTATTAGTTGAAGCTACACAAGTGAGACACGTATTTAACGAGATGATAACAACATCGGCTGGTACATTGAAAGCCAAAAACTACACAGTAAGATTTTCTTTACTTGTGAACTATACGGACAGTAAATCTATCGGACTTGATAGTTAATAGTGCAGATAAAGTAGAGTCCGCTTGATCTAGTGACATCACTACTATAATTAAAGTGTGGCCAGAAATACATTAGACTAAAATGGATTAAAGAACGCCCTACACACAATATGGAGAAGTTTAGTGGTATGTGCTCTACCACTCGACCACGCCATCCCATCTCTACAGGTCATGTAAAGCTTTTTTTTATAGGTCATGTAAAGCTTTTTTTTTAAGGTCATGTAAAGCTTTTTTTTACACGTCATGTGAAGCTTTTTTTTTACAGGTCATGTAAAGCTTTTTTTGCAGGTCATGTAAAGCTTTTTTTTACAGGTCATGTAAAGATTTTTTTTACAGGTCATGTAAAGATTTTTTTTTACAGGTCATGTAAAGATTTTTTTACAGGTCATGTAAAGATTTTTTTTACAGGTCATGTAAAGCTTTTTTTACAGGTCATGTAAAGCTTTTTTAAAGGTCATGTAAAGCTTTTTTTTTACAGGTCATGTAAAGCTTTTTTTTTACAGGTCATGTAAAGCTTTTTTTTTTACAGGTCATGTAAAGATTTTTTTACAGGTCATGTAAAGCTTTTTTTTACAGGTCATGTAAAGCTTTTATTTTTTACAGGTCATGTAAAGCTTTTTTATTACAGGTCATGTAAAGCTTTTTTTTTTACAGGTCATGTAAAGATTTTTTTACAGGTCATGTAAAGATTTTTTTACAGGTCATGTAAAGCTTTTTTTTTACAGGTCATGTAAAGCTTTATTTATTGAGATAACAAAATTATTTTCTTCGTGTCACAGTCCTACACTGTGTCAATTATCTCAAGTATTGCAATAGTATTAAAAATTTTACGATTTGGTCTATGTTTAGACAACCTTAGATAGCACTAGCAAAAAAAAAATATCTTTAAAAGTTGAATACTGGTTCACATGTCAGAAGTTATAGTTTTTTCTTTAACGGCTAGGTTGTTTTTTTGTTGTTTTTTTCTACAAATATTTGTAAACACAGTTTTGAACGAATTCCAAAAACTTAAAGCTTA